AACCTGAGGCAGGTCAGTTCAATTATGGTATCTCAAGGCCGTTGCCCTTTCAAAAAGGAAAACGAAGAAGCGGGAAAAAAAAAAAAAAAAAAAAAAAAAACTTTCAAACGACATGCCATCCCCATCATTCCCAAAAGTTGGGGCTTGGTGGGACAGAGAAGGGAACGGGACTTCATGGGGCTCTCACGAGCGACTTCAAGCTCGCGACAATTGTTTGAGTAAACTGTGAAACTTCCCGAGAACTTCAGACAAATTTTTGAGGAGGTGACATTAATGAAAGTTAGGCTCGGTAAAATCTCCGCGACTACTGGCATTTGATTCCAAAAAAAAATGGAAATTGCTAACGTCGCACAGCAAAGAAAGGGACAAAAAATTTGAGAGCATAGAAAACGGAGAATGTCAGGATTATTTCGCAGAATGAATAATTTAATAAATTTATTAATTGCAGGATAATTTCGCAGAGTCTCGCAATCGCAGGGCGGAAATCTCTGACAGATTCCAAAACAGAAAGCGGAGAAGTTGGCAGAGTATGAAAGTTATGATTTTTTTGCCGGGGCGAGAAACGTCTCCAGCTGAGTCTTCAACTGTTTGTTTGAACGAGTAAGATACGCAACCTCCTCAGCATGTTTCTTCTCCTCCAAAGCTCGCCGCTCGCTCTCCCTCCTCTCGATAGCTTCACATTTATTCTACAAAGGCAGCACAGAAGGAGCCAGCGAAAGGAACAGTTTTTTTTTTTTTTTTTTTTTTTTTTTTTTCGGTTACAATTTGAAAAGAAAAGGAAAAGAAAGAAAGAAAGAAAGAAAGAAAGAAAGGGCAATACTTAGGTAGTTGCCATGGATGATTGCAAAAATAGTTTCAAGAAGAGACAAAAGGACACTTTTTTTGGGGGTGGGAGGAGGGGAGCACAAAAGGACACTTTCAAGAAGAAGAGGAAAAAGAAAAAGGAAAAGGAAAAAAGCAAGCATTAAAAAAAGAAAAAAAGAAAAAAAGAAAAAAAGAAAAAAAGGAGGAAAAAAGGAAAAAGAAAAAAAAGAAGATAAAAGGAACCAGTGCATCCCCCCAACCGCTGACCGCGGCGGTTGCGACCAGGACCCCCCGGTTGGGACCGGCGGTTGACGCTAGCGGCCAGGGGGAAGGGGGTGCTGCCGGTCGGGGTTGCCGTTCGGGCTCCGCAAGGTCGCCTCACCCCCTCATGCAAAAAAAAAAAACATCCTAGAGGGGGGC